CATGCATGTGTGTGTTTATTTCAGTTTTTGCTATGTAAAGACCGATAGAGGGGTTAAGATACAAAATTATTCTCGAATTGGGTCGTTAGAAGGTAAGCTCAGTCCCAGTAATATGTGTATCCGAATGGGTGCACCGTGGTCCTATCTACCGGCAGTGCATGCGTAGGTATCTTGTTCATAAGTTATCTCTACCTACGACTCACATGTAGTACTGGGCAACCCTGTTTGCTGGCAATATCTACCTACAATACCTATATATATATATATATATATGTATATGTATATACTCGTACACCTGTACGCGTGTGCAATCGGATTTGCCTACCCTGATTCAATCCGTAAAGTTCCCATTTTGGAACCAGAATTCAACATTCAGGTTCCGTAAAATTGGAATCGGATCTTCTTGAATGCCGTACATTGGCATTGGGGCTGCATGCGATAGATTCGCGCCACCATCGGCTTCACCATTTCTCAAAGTACCAAATATACTCTCTCCTTAACCCCGCCAATATCTTTCTGTTCATAAACTCCGCACATGTCCCTCTCCTTTGTTCGCCGAACTTCGGGGAATGTCCCGAATACAGCCAGTTCAACGTCCGAGCGCTGGACCGATTTAGGGTATGTGGGTCTATATGATTTGTTGGGGTGCACCCAATTTGTAGACGCCCTACCAATACAATGGGGGGCGTATTGGTGTGGTATGCATTTGGGGTACTGTGAAGCTGCTTTGCCCTTGAATCTACCTACCCACCTACCGCTATTCCGTTCTGAAATCCTTTATCCTGACTCTAAACCGCATTTTGTTTGAGGAACCCCTGTTGCATGTGTATGTCGCTATTCTAATTTTTAACCCCTATTCTATTTTTAGCCCCTATTCTATTTTTAACCCCTATTCTATCTATAACCCACCCATGCACACAGGACCAGTTCAAGCGGACGAGCAGCAATGCATCCACCGCCACTACGCGTACCGTCAGCAACACCTCCACAGCCAGCAACAGCGCCTCACACAGAGACACTCCCCACCCCAGCCACACCCACGACGATACGAAGAAGCTCAGCAGCACGCTACCCAAGACAGGCGACATGCGAAGTACCGACCAAATCAACCCAGACAGATCAGGAAGTATGGGAAGCACGCAGAGCACCGCATATGCACACAGTCCCAGCACGGTGGATGGGCGAAAGGACAAACGGGATGGCGTGCCCAAGGACAAGCGCATTAAGGCGACCGGCAGTGTGGGGAAGAAGGACAGCGGCACGGGCAGCAGCATAAACCTGGTTAAGCGGGATTTTAAACGCAAGCGAGACTTGGTCAAAGTGGACAGTGCCAATGCACCCGCAACGAGCGGGAAAGGTGCAGTGGCGGCCAGACTGTCTCGCTTATACAATAGGCCCAAATCCGTATCGGATCTGTCCCGAAAGTCCAAACCCCCATCGGGTGGGGCGGGGGCCATGGATGGCTCGAGAGGCACGCCGAAAAACGCCACAGATAAGGACAAGAATGCCACAGATAAGGGGAAGCCGGAAAAGCCTTGGGACGGGGGCAAGACGCTCACGCGCAGTGTGAGTGCCAATGTGATGCAGGGGATGGCGGACGTGTTCTCGGAGAGTCTCTACAACACGGCCGGGGCCCAGACCACTGGAACTGGGGTCGGGCTAAAAAGGCAGCTGAGCAAGCAGGCAAATAACAAGAGCAGCAGTGATATACACAGACTGTCGTCCCAGAGTGCCCTGGCCAACAGACACAGCCACGGCAGCAGCCAGTCGGGAAGCGACTGCCATAGCAACATCAATGTGACCGCCGCCAGTCCTGTGGACAGCTGTGGGGTCAGCCCTGTTACGCTTAGGAACGGGCCGGATTTATCCCCGACTTTATTACGGGCAGTTGCACAGACACAACCAACAGCACAGACAGCAACCAATTCACAAAGGTCGAAGCACTCTCATGGGCTTGCGCATTTGAGGTTAAAAGACCACTCTGCTAGCACCACCTTAGAAGAAGCCGCAAAGTCGCTACAGATGGAGGTATGAGAGGATATCGTATGCATTTTCAGATAAATCTATATATATATATATATCTATATATATATATATATATATTTCTCTTTTGTATGTATATGTATAAGTAGACTATATATTTATATAGGAAGTAGATACATACATAGACATGTATGTATGTAAGTATTGAAAATGGAAGGGATGTATACATGATATCGATATCAGAAACTGCACGAATTGAATGTATGAGTGGTTCTAAAAGCTGGAACATACACGAGTGAAATGAGAGCGTATCTTCACGTCTTTGCATATTTGTGTTTCGAAATGGCTTGTACAATGAATACTTACGCAATTATGTACAGCGCAATATTGATACCGTTAAGAGCTGCATGCCTTGTAACTTTTTTATAACTAACGGCTGTATAGTTTTAGTATAACACGAGGGTGTATGTAGGGTTTGTGTAAAGGAAATCCCTAGTTTATTTCCGTACATGCGCTACAGAGGAAATCTCAATGTCTACCTGTGTACGAGGATGATACTGAGATACGATGCGACAGATGGTTTGTATGAGAATATATATATATATATATATATGTATGTTGTATGTATGTATGTATGTATGTATGTATGTATGTATGTATGTATGTATGTATATATATATGTATATATGTATACATATA